TAGGCATGAAAATCATTGGAATAAGCCAGTGCAGCTGAAAAAATAATTCAGTTATAACACAGTATTAACTGCATATCAAGGGGCACCATTTTCACTCATGGGGATCATTCTGAGAGTGAACCTGAAACTAAAAACACTTCCTCAGAGGAGTAGGACTTAACTTTTTACAGTATCCATTTTTGAGAAAAAATAAGGTCAGAGTCATAGTCTTTGTTTTTGGTATTTAGTGCCAATCTGGGGATTTACATTAAAATAATTTACATGAGTTCAGGCAGTAAAACAGATGAGACATTAGATGGGTACTCTGTTTCAGCAGATCCTAAACTGAGTGGTATCAGGCAGAGTAGAGAAAATGCTGGTGTGTACAAAGTGGTTCTGCAATGAAGAAATGCAAATCCAATGTGTCTGTTTGGCTGTTTTTTTGATAAATGACATTTGAACACTGCAATAATAAAAGTGTGTTTCTGTGTTGGTTCTTAGGTGTGTACAATGCCACATTTGAGAACAACGCTGTGCAGTACAGTGCTGGAGGATCTCTGGCTGAACCCATCTCTAACATATACATAGAGCTGCGGACTCGATCAGAGAATGCTGTGCTCCTGAGAGCCTCCTGGGGGTCTGACCTTATGATGGTGGGTCTGTTGGACTCCTCAGTCCAGGTAGAAATCCACACAGGCAACAGCATTGAGACGCTGATCTTTAAAGGAGTTCGTCGAGTGGCTGATGGAAGCTGGCACCGAGTGAACATCTCTAAGGCTGAGAAGAAGAGCAAACCATCCCCCTGGATTATCACTGTGGATGGAATCACAGATGCCAGCAGTGTGCCAGAGCGCGCAGGCAGTGTTCACTTTCTTAATGAGAAGGGAGCCACGCTGGCCATTGCAGAGAGCTTCACCGGCTGCTTGGGTGCAGTGAGGCTTGGAGGAGTCTACCTTCCTTTTGCGGACGACTACAAATCCCCACAGCTTTCTCAGTTCCATATAGTTGGAAAACCAAAGATTCATTTGGGTTGTACCAGTGCCCCTGTTTGTGATTCAGATCCTTGTCTCAATGGAGCCACATGTAAAGACCTCTTTAATAAATTTGGCTGTATGTGTGACTCTGGTTGGGAGGGCGAACAGTGTGAGATAGATGCTGACGACTGTGCGTCTCACCCCTGTGTTTACGGAACCTGTAAGGACTACTTAGCAGGTTTTGAGTGTCGTTGTCACCCTGGATATACTGGCACACTCTGTGATGAGGATCTTGATGAGTGTGAGCAGCATGCTTGTGAACATGGAGGTACCTGTGAGGATGGACCCAACATGTACACCTGCGTATGCCCAAAGGACTATAGTGGTCCTCGCTGTCAGTGAGTATTTGCTAATTGTATAAACTGAATGAATATGCTGGCTCCCCAAAAGTGAACCTAAAATATGGGTGATTCCATTGTACACTGTTCCTGCTTCTTCCTTCCCTAAAATATCAAAGTATATCAGATGTAGCTAGCTAGACATACCTTTTTTTCCCCCCTGAAAACATTAAACGCATAGCAAATGCCCACAAAATTTCAAGACTGACAAGTTTGCAGCACCAGGTTATTCTCGTAGATTAATTGTAGCAACTGGACTTGCTTGAGTTCCTTAAAGATGTTTTACCTCTCATCCAAGAGGCTTCATCAGTTCTGACTGACTAGTTGGGAGCCATCTATGTCAAACTGGAAAGACCATCCCTCAACAAAGGTGGAGGTCTGAGGCATTACCTCTCACCTGCACTAACGACTCACATAACGAGGGGGAGGAGCAACAAACCCCCAACTGAAACCGAAACTTAGGTGTTAATGACTCCTTAAGGATGTAAGTATCTGGAACTCGGACCTAGTCAGTCAGAACTGATGAAGCCTCTTGGATGAGAGGTGAACCGTCTTCAAGGAACTCAAGCAAGTCCAGTTGCTACGATTCATCTACCAGAATAACCATGACCTGGTTATTCTCATGACCATGACTGAGAATCTTTACAGACATGTAGCACCATGTAAGTTCAAGGGATGTAGACTCGCATTTGGGATCACCGTACCATATCTCCTGCTGTGTAGACTTTGGTTGTAAATGAGGTAACAAGATGGCAGCACCCATTTCTGCTATATTTTGGCTTCAAATTTCCACAGTGGGAGGAAGTGTTGATGCGTTGTCCATCTTTAAATACAATCTCTGGTTGATTGCTTTGACAGGCAGTAGTATTTGTAGATTTAAGACACAGAACACATATAAAGCAACAACATCCTTGCATGTCATGTTAAAGAAAAGTTTGTTACCTTATACACCAGGTGGGAGTATCCTCCAATACAATGCGGCAAAGATGTCCAGTGTGCAAACGATGGTGTCTGCAGTGATGGACTTTGGGGCGCTAACTGCACGTGCATGCCAGGTTTTACAGGCAGCAGGTAAGTTCCCTTTAAAAAATAAAAAATAAAAATTAGTTTAGTATCTTGCATGTATTGTGTGACAGAAAAAAGAAATTCCAGTCACCGTCACTGCTTCTCAACTGCACTTTCTGGTCATGTGAGAATTTATGTATTTTCTGCATTTCAGATGTGAAAGGGAGGTCAATGAGTGCGAGTCTAACCCCTGTCGGAATGGTGGTATCTGTTTGGATCGATTCAACATGTTTGTATGCGAATGTCTACCTGGCTACAGTGGACCAGTCTGTGACAGTAATGTATGTTTGCTAAGCTTCTATTCTCAAAGTATTACATAGGTCAAGAGATGTCTGTTTCTCATGTGCTACCTAGCAACAGGTGCAAAAAACAATGCCCTTGTGACTTTTTTTAGTCCATAATCAAAACACAATCTCTGTCCTGTGTGTTTCTGCAGAAACAAGCCCATAAACAGGGAATCCCGTGGCTAGTGATAGCCATCCCACTGCTCTGCTTCTGCGTGCTGATACTGATCATAGGCCTGACCACCATGGTATTCATGGCCAAGAAGAAGCGCCAGTCAGAGGGTGCATACAGCCCCAGTTCTCAGGAGATGGCTGGAGCCCGGCTGGAGATGGACAGCATGCTCAAAGTTCCACCAGAGGAAAGACTCATCTGACACCTTCACCGAGAAATGAGTGTATATTGTGGCGATCTGTGCACTGCGGGCAGGTGCACAGAACTTCCTGTAAAATCTGTAGATCCTATGCATATGTGGGCTGAACTGCAGAATGTGTTATAAGTAGCAGCTCCCTGGTGGTGGAGACCAGCTACTGACCCCATGTGGCTGCTCGATGTCTCTTCATTTCACAGAAATGTGCTAACCACATTGTTTCCTCACATTATTTTTGTTAATCTGTGGGAACAATCACAAGATCTTATCCCATTCTAAACTCCTGTCAGAAACTCAGGGTGTGAACAAGGAAGATTAATCCATCGCAGTTTGTAAAGCCTTAAACTGTTTTTTATTGTCCCACCTAATGTGTAAGGGCTTTACGTCAAGAATGACTGCATAACGAACTGTGGAAAATTACAGTCAGACTTTCATGTAATGTCCATGCTGCTGCCGACAACTGGGTTGCATTTATGGGAAACCAATATTATGACTTCTGGAGCCCTTTGCAGGTTTGAGATGTCAGTGAAATTGTGCAGTCCTCATTCAAAACTATGAACAAGCTGTTTACAAGACAGTAAGAATAGTTGTAGATTACATTTTAAATCTGAAAACATGTTTCTCTTCCATTAGCATGTGGAAGTAGTGATGACTTGTATTGAGCATTTTTCTTTTTTTTCCACATGGAACCGAAACTACATGAAAATCTGCAGTGTGCTTTTTGGTCTGCTTAACTGAGCCAGATTGGTTCATATTTGACCAAGTATTCTGGAGTTAAAGTATTGATTTAATTCCAGTCATTAAGGTCTGCTAGCCAATTCAGTCAAAACAATACATGATTTCTTAAATCAAACATATGAGCAGAAGCAAAATATGTACCAAGTTTGGTACAAGTCATGTTTCTAACTTTTTGTTTATGGAAGGAACAGCGATTACAATTGAGCATTTTTTGTTGGTTTACTATCACACTCCCTAGTGGCCAAACTGCACGAACCTCAGCATTCTTATTTATGCACTCAGTCTTCATAGTTGAACCCAACTTGGCTCCAATACTTGGCACAAGTTTTTCAGATTTACATAAATTAAAGGGATATCAACAAGCAGTTTTATACCTATTTTTTTCTGCATCATTCTATGTTTCTACTCTTCAGTGTACACGAGTAGAAGTGATTTTTTCCTTTTAATTTCCGATAGTACACCCTTGTGCCACCCTTGTAGTGATTGGATAAAACATTTGAGTTTTAGCACTTTGACTGGATTTCACCACACCAACTGAAGTTTGTTGCTTTAAATGTTGATATGATATGTACCAAGTTTGGTTAAGATTGGATTAAATGTAGGCTAGGAAGTCAAAAAATGGATGGAAGCAAAAAGGAAAATAATAATCAAGACAGTAAGCAAAGATAACAATAGTGTGATCACACAGTCAAGCCAACCAACAAGGGTATGAATCTACAGCTCCTCTAGGTGGATGTAAGAAAACACTGACTGCACTGGAGTGATGGGAAATTGCTCCTGCTTCTTTAATAGAAGGCCAACATAATGCAGTTGTCCTTGTAAAGTGGGTCTTGGTAGTGACACTGAACTCTATCTAAAGACATGGAGAAGCAATCAAGTGGGTATTTGTGGAAAGACGTGTGTTTACATCCACTTGTATTTTTGCACATTTTAAATAAAACAAAACATGAAAAAGACGAAATATTGCCAAAAGTTTCTGTGCTTTGTTGTGGTGGGGGAAGTTGCTGTACACAGTACTTTGGGAAGGTTTTTGGCATTAAAAGGATGCTTAAAAACACAGCACCAGCCCTCCAGTTACACTGCATTTTGGCTGTCTCAGTGATAATACATCCAACAGATACAAGAGATATGGTTCCAGCATGTTTTTCACATGGTGTTCACTTTTAGGATTTAGAATGCATTATAGTACAGAAACAGCATGATCTTCTTAAAGCTTCAGACAGTGGACTAGTTTCTATTCTTGTTCTTCTGGATCTCAGTGCTGCATTTAACACAGTTGATTACAACAGCTTAGTACAGAGACTGGAACATGTTACTTGGAATAAAGGAATCCCACTAAATTGGTTTAAACCATATTTACAAGACAAATTCCAGTATTTTATTGATGATTCTTTCACTCACAATAGTGTTAGTTAGGGAGTCCACAGGGTACTGTGTTAGGACCGATGCCATTTATTTTGTACATGCTCCCCTTAGGCAGTATTATTAGGACACTAATAACATTGTTTACTGCAAACATTTCAATTATTAGACAGGTGAGATACAGCTATATTTATCTATAAATCCAGAAGAAACTAATCAGTTAGTCAAACTCTTAAGGACATAAAGGGCTGGATGACCTGTATTTTTCTTCTCCTTTAGACAAAACTAAAGTCATGGAATTTGGCTCTAAACACCTCAGAAACACACTGATAGCTAACTGATAGTTACTCTGGATGGCATTGCCTTGGCCTCCAGTTCAACTGTGAGGAACATTGGAATTATGTTTGATCAGGATAAGTCCTATAACTCACACATTAAGTAAGTCTGGAGAACGGCCTTCTTTCAGTGTGCTTGACTGATATCAAGAACATCTTGGTTTTCAGTGTCTTGCCCAAAGACACTTCAGTACATGGTCTCCCCAGTCTATGTGGGGATACCACATGCTGAGGCACCATGCAGCAGTAAGTATATCGCTTACTGTGCAAATAGTGGACAACTAAATCAACCAACTGAGCCATGGCCACACAAAACCATCAACAAACATCGTATTAGTAGCTTCTAAATTGTGACATTGCTGTTTTGCTCTAATTTTCTTTTTGGAACACAAAAGGCATTTTTTCTGGCATGCCTCCCAGGCAGGTCACAATTATGCAATGTCTTTATGATTGTAGCAACAGCATTTTGACATCAACAGCTCTAAGTGTTGATTACCAATGCTGCCAATGGTGTAATGATGAGCTGGTAATGCACAAGCCATCTGTGTTGGCATTATCTCCCAATATTATGCCTTTTTACAGCTGTGTTGTCTAAATCCATCCATTGTCTATACACCGCTTAATCCTCACTAGGGTCGCGGGGGGGCTGAAGTCTATCCCAGCTGACTTACGGCGAAGGCAGGGGACACCCTGGACAGGTAACCAGTCTATCACAGGGCTACACTTAGAGACAGAGCATCTGCATAACCAAGCACACTCACATTCACACCTACGGACTATTTAGAATCACCAATTAACCTCAAGGAAGCCGGAGAACCCGGAGAGAACCCACACTGCACGGGGAGGTATTGCAAACTCCACGCAGAAACCAGTGACCTTCTTGCTGCGAGGCAACAGTGCTAACAACTGCGTCACCTTGCAGCCCTTGTCTAAAACTATCCAGTGAATAAAATGACTAAAAATGAAAAAAAAAGAAAAAAGAAAGAAAGTTACAACCAGATGACAGATCAATTTTCTGCTCAGTTGTATGATAGTCTGAAACATTGCGTCTAAGTTAGAATATTGGTATAGAACATTGTTTTATGTTCTTTTATTAGCTGCATAAGCACAAAAAAATCATAATCAAAGTCTCATCATCTTTGTCCCAAAAAGTTGCACCATGATGTTTAATCTCTGCTTTCTGCACAAGTTTTGTGAACTTTCAGCTCCTATAGTCACGTGTTATAAAGACTTTTACAGCTTCTTTCTCATCCCTGACAAGAAAAACACCTGCAGAGCACACAGTCTTTTTGAAATGACATGTTTTTAATTTGTGAGAACTATTTAAAAGATACGATTTTGAATTTGCTGGAAAGTGTAAAAAGATATGTATCCACTATGGGTAAACTATAGGAACATATTGCCTATAACTGAAAAAAGTGAAAGGGGAACAAATACTTAGATCAGATTATTCTCAGCGCTTATGATTATGTTGTGTCATCCAGGAACTAATTAAAAACTAAGTAATTTTGTCAGTGGGCTGCGTAAATTATACATATGATACGGTGCAAGGGTTTTGAGCCATTTATAACCGTTTCCTTGGACCATTAATTTTATGTTTTCTGCAATAGTGTTCAGAGAAATAAATATCATATTTAAAACTTCCAAACATTTATTTTTCAAACAACAAATTAATCTGGTGTGTTATGTGTGTGTTTCTGGAGAAGGTAACAATGTAGCAGCACTTTCTAGGTGAAAACGTAAGAAATGTGTAGGCATATAGGCCTTTGCACGATTGAACAGTCTCACAAAATATTTGCTAATGAACAACAGAATGTGTAGGCTGAGTCATAAAGTAAAACAAACCAACTGTGTAAGGGAACAGGGGAGAGGAACAGTGAGAGAAAGTGACAGTGACATCTAAGATCAGCATGGCAGCAAGACACATGGAGGTCATAATAAGAAAATGCATGTACATACACAAGTAAATTCATCATGCGTAGACCATTCATGTTTATTTTTTGGTTGTGGCAAGAACAGAACATAATAAAGCTCTTCTTACGATTTTCTTACTATGACTTTTCTACGAGTTTTTAATTGTTAAATGGATGATGTATATCAGCAGGTAATTAATTAGTTAATCACCAACAGGGTCCAGGTTACTGTCTGATAAAGGTCACACCACAAATTTCTGAAAAATGCTGACACAGGGATGAAACACATTTGTTTCCTTTTGCTGCTATGCAACACCGAAAGTGTTACATGCCTAATTGCGAGTGCTGACGACTTCACATTCTTGCATATCACACAACATCAGTCGGCATCTGGTTATCCCAAATTCATTCTGCAGTTGGGCAAAGACCCCAAACACACTAAAAACAGCCTTGAGTTTGTTTATCAAGGCATGAAGTTTTGAATATACTAGTAAGTAGAATGTCCAGGTCTGTCAATCGTGATCTGTTGCAGTGTGCATGATGTTGATATACAGTCGTATGTAACTGACTTGGGGGAATGATCTACTGCCAAAAACCACTGCCATCCTCAGCTATCATCTCTAAACTAACAGACAAATGACATTTGTCTATAAAACACAGACAAATGGAGCTCTGTATTATGAATTTTAACGTCTTGATTTTAATGTTTTTTATGTACAAGTATACATTGTGGTGTGATGGTGGCACTAAAGACCATATATTTGAAGGATAGTGTCACAGGCCAAATTGATTGTCTCTCAGAAATAGATCTTAAGATGTGCTGTCCGATATCATCAGAAATCAAATGTTCTAACCGGCCACGCTTGTAGGGCTGGAACATGACAATCTTCAGTAACAAGGATAAGTGCACATTTTTACATAATCTCACCACATTGGCCAATTACAGCGGTGCACATATTGGTTTCACATAGTTAAGGTTAATGGCAAACAGTAACACCTCCCTCATTGCATGTTGGACATGTGTCAAAGGAGAGGCTTTCAGGTTCTATCTGATCATCCAATATTCAGTTCAGACAACCATAGGGACAGCTTAAACCAAGTCGAAATACCTCATAGTAGTGCCGTAATAAAGCTCAGATGTTTACAAGTTAAAATAACCAAGAATCATCTCACAAGCAAGGAAATCAGTGAAAAAAAGGTAAGGTAATGAAAATGTGCTGCATAGTCAAACACAATACAGAGTCAGAGTAATTTTAATCAAGTTAAGTTGATATGTTCAGATATTTGTACTACATTTTAAGCAGGTGCAGTCGGATACTTGCCACCATACTTTAATCATTCATAGAACAAACATGGTGTCATCTGTACACACACAGCAGCAACTAGATCTATACAGCACTTTGAAGCAGGTAGGACTTTTTGGCATTCACAACGCATGGACGCCCCAAAATCACCCAGAAAGCTGTATGGGCACGGACACCTACACAGTTTCTGATGCTGGAGAAATCACAACAGCTGAATTGGTAACTGGTTGGCAAAAATGTGAGAAACCATTATTTTTTTTGCTCCCTATGCATGATTGACATTAAAAGGTGTAAGAAGACTCATTAGAAAATAACTGTCATCATACACAAAGTAATACCCGACTAAGGCAAAAACCAACAGAAGTGAATAATTAGCATATTAGCAGAAAAAACTGGCCTAAAGATCATTAAAAAAGCACAGTTTACAATGAGTGACTCAAAGTCTCCAGATATTTAATTAGACAGAAAGGTTTAAAATCAGCACTCTGTATAAAGCTACCAAAAACATCAATAGATGAACTCTGAACCACAATTTGTAGCTACAGAACCATAATGCCATTAAGATGTCAATCAACTATAGCAGACTAGCTCCTAGTAACAATACAACCTAATTGTAGAAGTTGACATCATTAAGATATGCTGTTGTGAGCATGGCATATATCCTCTTGCAGGAAATACTGTGTACAGTGGCACTAAAGACAGATAACATGAGAGGGAGCTGTGCAAAAAGATATGTCAGCAAACATGTAAGGGAGTGGCAATGAGCAAGAAATAGTTGGCAATCCATTTCCATGGAAGAATGGCAGAAAAACACAAAATATCCAAATTCAGAAAATCCTAGGGTAGAGCTAGATGAATGCAAGTGCTATAGGCTGAGGAGGCAGCCAACACCCTCTGTCTGTTCACCAGACTCACGCTCCTGTTTGTCAGTGGTCAGCAGCAGAGCAGATGCTTGTTGTTGTTGTTGTTGTTTTGGTGGGTGCATGGGTGGGTGGGGGGTGGGGGGGCATTCCTACCTACTGGATCAGGACCTTTCTGAGGCAGTTAATATACATCACCTCTGATGTATTTGCACAAACAGACTCAACCTGCACGACACTAGTCCATCTGAAGCAATATCAGGGAATGAGAGGATCATTATGCTGCACTGATGTCATGTGACACAGTAAAACTGTACTAATAATTAAATGCTGCTTTTTGCTTCAAGTATATTTTCCTGTCATTCCCTTTTGCATGGGCACACGAACAACATCCAGAGGTAAGTACAGAATGCACCTGTGTGGATTTTCACCAGGCTTCCTTCCACGGTCCAAAAACATCGTGTGTTTGACGATTCTAAGTTGGTTGTAGGTGTGAGTGTCTGTGTTTGCCCTGTGATGGTCTTGCAACCTTTCCAGGGCGTATCCTGCCCTTTTGCCCTATCAGAGATGCTTTCAGACAGTGGGCTGTTGCGACTGTCTGCAACCTGTGCCTGTTGCATATAATAGGGACTAAGGACTTTGCCTCGACAACATCTGTTAAAACAATAAAATGAACAACTTTTCAAATATTATCCCAGATTTGCTCCTTAACAGGCTTCAGGAAATTCTAATCCTGCTCAAATGAGCTCCTGCATTGTTCTCCTCTGTGTCTTTCATGGTGGCCAAGATCACACATAGCAGCAGACACTGATTTGAAAAATTTCATAAACTATCAACTCAGCCCCCCCCCACAAAATTTTTCCTCATTTTAGGATAGAGGCAGGTCTTTAGTGTCAGATTAAGCCGTTGTTTTTTTTTCTATAGCTGTGAGCTGCATGGGCAATGTGGACTGCATCAGAGCTAATGCACCATCAAAAGCAGGAGAAGGTCCTGATAGAGTAGTGAGGGAAGCATGGGTAGTTACAGGGAGGTGTACTTCTGTGCATATAGACAGGTTTTAGTCAAATGTTTCCCATTTTCTCCGAAGGTCCTCCACCTTCTTTTTTGGAGGTGTAGCTGGGTTGGCCATAGTCAGCAGGTCGCCAAAAGGATCCTGAATCTTCTCGCTGTCTCCCTCAGTTTGAAGTGGCTTTTTCAATATGTTCGTGGCTGTCGTGGGGACAGATGTGGAGTCCATCAGGCTGGAAATTGCGTGGTTGCTGGCAGAGGACGGACGCAGGGGGCTGACTGAGGAGGGGAAGCTGGACTGAAGCAGTCCGTAATAGGGTGGCAGAGTGGAGCTGCCTGGTGAATGCTGTCTGTAGAGCCCCGTTTGTGCAGAAAACGACTGTGGCTGGGGTGGAGTGTTTAAGTAAGAGCCTGGAGGAGGCCCGTATACTGCATTGAAAGGATTCGCACTTACAACTGGGGAGTAATGCATTTGAGAGGAGGTGTGCTGCAGAGACTGGGCGAAAGGATTCAGTGATATGTGAGGATGCAGTGAGAAAGGAGGTAGGTCCTGTGGGTAGGACCTGGGTGGTAGTGTTTGTTTGCAAGAAGATGACACGCCGACATCTACCCCATCCGTTAACCCAGCTGAGCTGGACTGTGCTGAGTTATTAAGGGGGTCTAGCAGGCTTATCAGATCTATACTGTCCTCAGCGGCCATTGTAGGCCTCGGCAGGTCTGTAGTCATGCCCAGAGCATGTCGAAACTCTTTTGCCCCTGATGTAGTCCTTCCTTCACTGGCTCCGGATGTTTTAGTGCGCAACTGGGTCATGGGGGGTGCTAGGACAGTACCAAGTTCAGGCGTTTTCCTTCCATGGGGACGAGGAATTGTGATGTTACCAGCGGTGGAGGGGTCCAAAGGGTCAGTGCCTGCACTGGAGCTTTCCCGGCCCGGCGAGTGGGCTTCTGCCTGCACAAGAAGTTGGATAGGTGGAGGTATTTCACAGGTAGTAGGCACACCAACAGGCAAGACTGTTTCATCCTTCCCTCTACTCCACATCTTGTTGTAAGGGTTGGAGAGCTTGAGGCCTGGAAGCATTTGCGAGTTGTCACTGACACTTAGGTCCATCCGCTGCAAACACAAGAGACAATACAAACGTCAAAGGACCACTCAAGAATTGTTTTCCATTTGTTCTTACAATTCGCCCAGCAAAGTCTATGTCCTCACAACTTACATTAACACCTGTACTAACAATCTTTCTCAGTGGTGGCAACATGGGGCCACAGGAAGATTTGGAGTGACACAAAAAAACAAAAGCCAGAGTTTTATTTAAGGATTATTTTTTATGCTGTTGTAAAAACAGAGGCCATCTGAAAACAGTTAATATGACAAGCTAAATCGTTGTGAGAACAAAAACTTAGGACAATTAAATGTGGACTATTAAATATTCTGTCATCTAAATGTCTTTTAGTTAATGATCTGATAACCTTTCCTCATACTGACTTACTGTGTCTCACTGAAACCTGGCAACAGCATGAAGAATATGTCAGTCTAAATGAATCAGCCCCCAAGTCATTTTCATTTTTACATTCCTAGAAGTACAGCAGTGGAAGTACTGCATGTGTTGTGCGGAGATCGCCAGTGATCGAATCTGCATAGGTCTGGCCTGTTTGGAACGAGCCTATTTATGTTAGTTGATTTGCAGAGAATTTAATTGTATTTGTCTGATTATTAATTTGTGATTCTAAATTGTCCATTGGTGTGAATGTGAGTGCTTGGTTGTCTGCCTCTGTGTGTAGCCCTGTGATAGACTGGTGACCTGTCCAGAGTGTAACCAGCTGGGATAGACTCCAGCATCCTCTTAACCCTACAGAGGATAAAGTGGTGTATAGATAATGGATGGAAGGATGGTCTGATTGTGAAGGGTCATTCTACATGTATGGCTGATTGTGATGTTACAGATCCTAAACTACCAACAATATAGAGTATAGTTGCAGTGTCTTGTATACTGTATACTGCCCTGATTTAATTCTTGAAGTATCTAGAGACACCAAAACTTAAGGCAAGGGATGTGAGGATTCTTAAAGAAACAAACAAAAAAACATCTGTAGAGATGTTTTTGCACGTCAAGTCTGAATATCCAAGGGCTCAGTAATAAAGAGCATATCGATGGGCTGCCCTGTCATAATTACAATCATTGGAGACTTTGCACAAACTCATAAGCACCAGAGAACGTTTTAATAAGTCTGTGTTTCTGTAAGTTCCTGTATAGGCTGCTGGAAACTGTCTTGACTGTAAACTGAACTCTGCCCCCTGCTACTGCTACCTGCTCTCATCCGCTTTCCAGGTATCCAGGCGTATCTGCTTAAAAGATAGAATTAAACCAACGTTGCCTAACCTGGTAGGTGAACTTAGCGTGTAGCTCATCTTTAGGATTCCTCAGGTCTTCGAGACTTTTAGCCAAGGTAATCGGCTGGCTGTCAGGCTCGTCCTGGCACCCAAAAATGTCGCCCAGTAGGTTGACACTGGAGAACTTCTCATTAACTGGGCTGGGAGGGGCTGTGTGGCTTTCTGCCCCAAAACCAGGATCATCCCCTTCCATCAACTCAACCTCCTTCAGAGAGCGGTACGGCTGAGGCCTGTGGGGACAATGTTAGAGTTAAGTTATTTGTCACACACCAGAGGTCTTCATAGGTCAAAACCTGTATACAATCAAAACAAGGATTATTGCCCTTTTCTTAAATATAGCCCAAGATAGAACTTGTTTAAAGCCTTTGCAAAGGGTGTGTATTGTAGCTAAATCTCAAGAAAAAATCAAAATCAAGAAAAAGTCAATTTTTGTTTTTTCACTAATCATCATTAAGAATGACCACTCTCGATTGATGAAAAGATTATTTACAGTATGCTAGCATTGAATGGTACCTATAGTGAACAATGTATTTCAAAGCCCACCTAAAGGAGCAACTTTACTGATCTACAGTCGTGACTCGATAATCCGACCCTCAACAATCCGAAAACCTTGCTATCCGACAGATTTTTTAGGAAAAACGAACAGAATCCATATAAACCAGCCTTAACATATTGACAGTCTTGGATTCTGACTCCAACATGACATTTTATGTCACAAACAAGGGTAACAGTGTATTATCTGACTTAACAATCTAACAGATTGGTGACATTCAGACTGCAGGACTTAATGCTCAATTCAGATTTTTTTGCAAATTTGTTCATATTTCCAATTAAATACGACTTGTATGTGATCTCCTGTGTCAACTTCATACGACCCAAAAGTGTCCCGCATGCAGAAGAGGACACGTCAATGTCACACACCGTGAACATGCTCAGTGTCTACGGAAGTAAACAGGAATGGTAACAGTGGACCGTATCTGCCACTGCACCGCCGCCTCCGATGGTGGAAACAGAAATGTGATCGCTGTCCTAACTAGCATCAGCAGTCGAGTACTGCCTGTGCGTTCCAGCCACTTCTGAGTGCCTCCCCGACCGCGCCTAATATTCAGATATTCATCATTAATTGGATCCAGGAAGTACTATTCGGACCAGCCCTACTAGTTATTATAACAACTACGAACAATAAATATTAACAACAAATGACCCTTCAAGCATCAAGCCCTCTTTGTATCTCGACATAAAAGAAGATTTTACATTTAATGTCGGATTATGGAGTCACGACTGTACTAAAGGTCACTATTGTGATCGGCTTTGGGAGAAACCTGACCCTTTAGTGCTATTTTATATGGCTAGCAATGAGATCTATGCCTTATGTTCAACAAAATACTGCTCTTACTGTAATGTAATCGCAAAATTTCCCCCCCTCAGTAACCATAATGCTTTCGAGGTACAGGTTTAACACATGCACACACACTTCCTTAGGAAGAGAGGAGTTGAGAAAGGCTTTTTAATTAAGCAAACACCAAGCAGGGGAAAGCTAAATTAATCAAGATGCGTACAGAGGTGACCACTCAAAAGGGACGGAGAAGAGAAAGCTGTCAGGAAACCCAGCGATGGAGTCAGCGTCGTATTGGAACTCGTCTCCAGACGAATCCTCAGACAGAAAGACTGTGTAGTGACGAGTAGGACGGACAGAGCTATAGCAAGGAGATGAAAGACAAGAGGAAATTTAAAGCTCAGTATACATGTTAAGTGAGCCATTAAAAGGGACAGGAAGGAAGAGGAAAATAAAGAAAAGAAAAGAGAAGGACTAGCACTGTTAAAAGTATCAGGCCTTTTTATCTACTGACAGAGTATCAGGATTAGTACGTTTCTGTGCTTATTGTAGATTCGTTAGACTAATCAGTTTATTCATTTCAATCAACCAAAACCAAGTGGTGCAGTTAGCTGTGGGGGAAAAAAAACAAACAAAAACATGAAAGACAAAGATCTCCACTCTGAAAGGAATCCAGAATCTTTGAATCTTGTGTTATGTATCAGAGAACTGAATGGACTCTGATTTTGTCTGTTCCACTGCAGCAGCACAGATTAACTATTTCACTGTCACTTCATATTGCAGTCATGGATGACACTCTAATGCAAGACGCGTTGTAGATGTACTGTTACGAATAAATGACACCTCTTTCCAGTGTTAGGTTTCTCATCTGTTACCAAAGTAAAAACACTCACATGAAACAACTATAGATTATATATATCTTTTTTAAACATACACTTAAGGCACTATTAGTACAAACAGACAAAAACAATGTTCTCCATAAAATACCGTATATACTTTTATACTGCTCTTGTAATACTCAAGTTCCTCATCTGATTCCACGACCGCTACTGTTAATTTAGCTCTTCAGACTTTAGGGCAAAACATCATGTGCTCCAGCTTCATCCTACAAACCAAAGGCGTGTATGCTGGTATAATTGATGACTATAAATTGGTTGAAGGAGTTTGAATTTGAGTGTGAATTTGAGTCACTGTAAATCTGTCCAGGGTGGAGCCAATGTCAGTTTTTATGGTCAAGTCATGCTTGATATAAGAGCTAAACCATGTTTCTAGTCTTTAGTATCTAGTAAACAAAAGTACAAAATCATGCTTAACGTCTTAGCTTTGGAACCATGTTGCTCACTACAAACCAGCAGCATGTTGAAAATGCTCTAAAGAATGTGCAATTCCTGGAGAAATTGCAGTGTGATTACTTTCTGGCAGTTACTTCAGCTTGCAGAGTGGCCCACATGTACAGGAGGAGCCCACAATCAAACTACCAACATTGTGATTTCATTTCGTGTCAATCCCTCTACTGAAGCATTTGTTGCATTTCATGTGACTAAAACAGACCAGATAAACACAACAGTGCTGTGGCAGTCATTTGTGGTTTTTGAGTGCCCTCTGTTGGTATTTCAACTTTACAACAGCAAAGTCTATGTGGAGAAATCAAAACATGATAAAACATGATGAACATTTTGTGGTGGCTCTGGCTGCATTAAGTAGAGGGAGATGTCCTCGAATTACAAGTTTGGATGTTCAAAACCAAGTTCTTCCTGTACATTTGCACAACTATACACTACTATAATACTATATACAACTAGATATTACTGTGAACCACCTGCAGAAGTTTTTAGCATTACTACAGCCTTAAAACTGTAAATGAGGCAACTTAAAATACTTAGTGGGTTTTCCCAGAGTGCTCAGGCTTCAGCCCACAAAGACATGTATGGTAGGCTAGGTGGTGAATCCAAATTGACCATCAGTGCGACCGTGAGTGTACATGACTGTCCGTCTCTCTGTGGGGCCCTGCAATGGACTGGCAACCTGTCCAGAGTGCACCCTGTCTTTCACCTGTGTCAGCTAGGATAGGTTCCAGCCTCCCTGTGACCCTCTGTAGGATAAAGCGGGGATAGCTAATGGATAGATGGATGAATGGATGTTCAGAAGGCTAATATTACATCACACTCTTCAGTCAGGTGTATAATTTCAAATAATTCTGCCTGCTGCCTTACAAATAATGTCCTGACAACGCACATATGTAAAGATAAATTCTGGATTGCATCATGGACAGGGGATTTACTGTATACAACAGAGGTAGGCTTACTGGTCAGTGCTGCTTTCCAGACTTGCATTGCTGCTTGGTCTCTTCAAAAGCATTGGTGGGCGAGCCTGTTAAAGATAATAAAAAGTATGAAAAAAGGACACATGACCGATTTGGAATACAATGACTGATAGAATGGTGTATACTGAAACAATATTTGAACACATTTCATGGAATCAAACTTAAAACTTTAAGTGGTTGGAACTACAATGTTTTCCATCACAAATCATCTTTGGCAGCAAAAAGACATATAAACCAACAACAATTTAAATTTTGCTGCGTCATCAAGGCACTGAAAAAAAAATCAATTATAGACAATTTTAGCCGTGGCTAAAAAAATAAAAGCTGTTACTTGAATGCATTCTACAGTGAGCATTGCTAATATGAGAGAGGACAGAGCTAAGGTTTGATAACAGATTTGTTAATGTCAGTGCTTATGACAATAAATTGCATACATTGCTTGCATGCAGAAGGCTGTGGCAGACAAGACAATAAAGAAGGAAAATGTTTATTCTGCTTTACCTTACTGGCCTGAAAATAAGACTTTATAACACAGGCATAAAACTAATTGGACAATTACAATTGACTCACTATTAGCAGTTCCAGGGTCAGGTATGTCCTGTTTCTTTGGGGGTTTTTTTCCCTGTTCAATGTCAAATTTAGGAGATGACAGCTTTGGAGTTGATTTAAAGTGTTGACTTTGCATCTACTCAGAGGAACCTCCAATATGAGTTCCAAAGAGGTGTTTATGCAAGTGAAGGAGGCCATCATTAGATGGGGAAAAAAAACAGACCTATCAGACCTAAAGCAGTGCGATCTTATAAAGAAAGAATGTACTAGTAAGTTTAGCAAAACCAAAAAGAAGACTACAGACAACAGCCAAAGGGGATGATCACAGATTTTTTTCATTGGTGAAAAAAAAACTGGTTTGAAACGTTTAGTAAATAACCCTTTGGAGGAGGAAGGCAGTTTGTTACTCAAGTCTACAACCAAGAGGGACCTTTATGAATCTAAGTACAGATGATCTGCTTCAAGATGCAAACCACTGGCAACACTCGAGGCCAGAGTAGATCAGATTACACCTGCACAGTTCAGGACCTCAATTTTTTGGACAGATGAAACCGAGATGTCACATCACCTGTCATACATGGTGGATGCAATTTTATGGCATGGGCATGCATGGCTGCTAATGGAAGTGAGTCACGGACTGCTAGGATGAATTCTGAAATAGTATAGAAATGAGCTATACCTTCTGCTCAGATTCAGTCAAATGCTGCAATGCTGCAGTATTAAAAATAACCCTTGTATCTAAATTTATGCTAGTTTGTCCAAATACCTTTGAGCCTGTAAAAATGGAAGAACTATGTAGTCAATGGCTTTAACTCCTAAAAGAAAAAGCAATATTTCTGTTAAACTGCTTGAAATAAAGATGAAAGACAACACTCAATCACATCTGGATTGCTTCATATCAAATCCATTGTGGATACTTATGGACTTGACTGTATAACCATTATCAAGTTTGTGGACGACACAAATTGTCTCTAAAGATCCTGGTGAACTTCTATCGATGCCCCATCAAGAGCATCCTGGCCTACTGCATCACAGTCTGGTACAGTTACTGCTCTGTTTTAGAACGGAGATCACTGCAGAGGGTGGAGAAAACTGCCCAAAGCATCACCAGTACAAACCATGGTCTCATCAGCATGCCATCTTTTCTCACCTCATTCCCCCAAACATGTCCAAAGTGCACAGTGGCTGGCCTTTCGTCATCCCAGGTTTGCAGTGAATCCTCCCTCCTGACTGCACCAGTTGAGGAGCTAAACCCTGCTGTGCTGTCATCGATGACCACTGACCCTCCAGTTGAGAAACCATTCTCGGCCTGCTCCTGCAGAGGGACGTGTGTGAGTGTGAAAGAGAGAGAAAGACCAAGAATTGTCATGATAGTGGCTTTTAATAGAAACATAATTCATATTCTTAAATGCAAACACCAATGTTGACAATTGAAAGCAATGTAGAGTTACATACTTTTTGCTTCAACCGACTCTTGACTTCCTTGATTCGCATTTTGGCATGGTCCTTGGCCTGTCAAACAAATACAAAGTCAGATCATTGCCATTCTCCTGGTTTTTGCAGCTCAGCAACAATCTAGTCCTGAGCAGTAAGAAAAGGGGCAGGCAATCCTAAGTGATGTCTCACATTGTCTCTATGGTGAAAATATGTTCACTATCAGGATAAAGGTCCAGTCCCTTATGGACTACCCATTCTGAGAGATCATTCATACAGCGCCTACGTAAAATGTAAAGAGAGCGATTGCAGAAATTTTCACCCGCTTTAAAGCAACTCACCCATTTAACACAGGTGTAGCAAATTTGTGCTTGATGAATTTGGTTTTTTGTTTGAGAGCATCTATGTGTAATGATTGTGTGTCAAGTGACTGTATTTGGAATGTTCAGTCACAGATAAAACACTCCTGGCTATATTTTAATCAAGTGCGCACTTGGAGTGGAGTAGCAGCCTGTTACATGCAGCTCTAGGTGTTTTTTATGCCTCACAATGGGAAGACTTCACTGAGTGATAGGACAAGCGTAAAATACAGTTGAATAATCAGGATTAAGAGACACAAAACTAAATTCAGTTTAGGAGTCGTAATGTTACACATCTTTTGATTAGAGCTTTAAATTCTCCTCGTGAGACAAACTCGTGAAGCTGCAGTGTGTTCTGAAGGTTATTCCAGGACCAGGAAACAAAATAGGAGAAGGACGCTATGCTAAGTTCAGCACAAATCCTGTACCCCTGCACTATGCTGATGTTCCATAAGCTGTAAAGTCTTTTCATATTGGTGTATTTGTCGAACTGCCACAAGTGCAAAAAAAGGAATTTCTTAAAGGAAATAAATAAAACCATGTAACCTTATATGCATTTTTACCAGTTCTTATACTAGTGTTTAACAGAGGTGAGGGAACTTACAAGCTTATAAACTGTCTTCATCGCTGGGTTTGCCTTGGTCTTCACTGTGTTGAAGATAGCTCCGCCTCCTTTCTATCGGAAAAGGTTGAGATAACACAAGTTAGAGTCTCACTAACACACCACACTGGGATCTCTGATATGTGCCACATTTTGTCACATTCTTTGCCATGCACTTTGTTCTTCCTCTGTGTTTCATGTGTTATATTTCCCTGTTCCTAGGGTCTCTTGTCTGTTTTTGCCAATGTGCCCTGGCATTCACTTTTTGCTGACTCATGATTTTTTTTTTTTAGTTACTTACCTTGTGTGCCCCCTACTGCTTTGATTGTGCCACGCAGGGAAGCGTTCTGTAAGCCCTGGCTAAGGAGTTCTCTACCTGAGTGGATTAAGGACTTCTGAACACCTGTGATTCCCAGCGTCCACCCAAGTTAGTGAGCCAGTGACCGGCTACCCTCCTGGTAGCTCCAGTTTCTGAGTCAGCGAGCCACCTGCTCGCTTTCCTCCTACATGATCAACCTCCTTAGTAGGCTATCCTCTGGCCTGCTAGCCTCTGGTCAGTCCTCCCATCAACTAGCACAGGGCCCACCAGTTCCCTGCCCAATCCTGCCTCCCTAGATACTCCATAGCAACCTTCTAGTAAACCCTTCAGAAGAACACGTGGCTCCCACCAACATTGTGCCTTAATACTGTCCATCTTTGCAGAAGTCTTGCTGCCAAATACCCTGGTTTACTTTCTTCCAGTCCCCAGGCTGGCAAAGATCAAGCCTGCCTCTGAGCTGGTTAATGGCTCTCCTGCTGCTGAGTAAGCTGACGGCCTGTGTGATCCTGAGTCTGTTTTTCAATCAGTTGATACTCTCCTGTACCAGAGTTAGTTGCTCGGCTGGAAGAAGCACTGCCTGCTTCTGAATCAATCACTGAGTTGGCTGACATGTTGTGGAAACTGCTATGATTCTTTTGACTTTCAAAAACAAAACACAGACAGATTGTTTGGTATATTTGTCTTTTGCAATCAGAAGAAAGGAAGACGGCATCTTTCTTGAAGAGCGGTACAAGAGTGGAAGTTTATTTATCAATGTAGTTGCATTTATCTCTCTTATTTCTAATGCATTAATAAAGGATTCACATCTTAAAATGGTAACCTATGAGCTGATAACTGAGTTTGTTTGTTTTTTACATATGCCTCTTTAGCTCCTGGGGCAGCTGACACTCTTCGGCCTCCCCTGAGTTTGTCAGTGCCCCCCTTGTTCCAGAGTGTCCTCCATGGTCAGCAATTGCCAACATTGTGTTTCTTGGTTGGCCAACGCCTCTGCTTTCCCACCCAGGCCCATTGACACCCTTCCACAGTCGGCTAATGCCAAGCACAGGCCTTTTATATGGTCAGCCAACACCAAGCCCAAGCCCCTTTAACAGTTGGCTGACATTTACTGTCCCTGTGTCTGCCTACAGTTCTTTTAAACTGAATCTGAGGGTCTGTCAATGTTTCAGCTGATGTCAGGCTTGTTTTAGGGATGGCTGACAACCAGCCATCAAGTGTGGTTCAGACTCAGCCCTCCTGGCTAACCTCAAACCTGCCCTATGGTTCGCCCTTCCAGCCAAACATAGTCGGACAGCCTTCAAAGGCAACAACCAGGCTGTTCCAGATTTAACTGTCACCACTGATCTCCTTCCTTTTTTACAGACCATGTACATGCCTTCATGGCAACAATATTCCCTTATGGTAGTGGCCTGTTTGCTGTGCTGCAAACAGTCCAGGAGTGGTTTGAGGAACATGACAAAGAGATCAATGTGTTGTGAGAGGTACTGAAAAATCAAGTTTAATCCATGGAGGGTCCATCTCGCAACTCCCAGGACTTAAAGGATCTGCTGCTAGCATCTTGCTACCTGACACCACAGGACACATTCAGAGGTCTTGTGGAGTCCATGCCTTGATGGGTCAGAGCTGTTTTGACAGCACCTTTCCCTGCTGGCAGCACAAGGGAGACCTACTTAATATTAGTCAGTTGGTAGTAATGTTGTGGCTGATTGGTGTAAGTCCCTTTTTAAGTCAGAGTAAAACAAGTTTTTAGTTACTTTACACGTATCTGTGTTTGGCTCCAGTGACACTAAAAACCAACTATTATCTAAACAGTTTGTCTTTCAAACATTCTTCCCTCAGATACATTAAAGAAGAAGCTGAATGATTAGAATTAGCAAGTTATGTGACCTTCCAGAACTGATTAGTTGTGTGAGCAAAAAAGTGTGGCCTAACTAGAAAAAAAAAACTCAACAGGCTCCAAAAAACAGACAAGAAACACTGTAAAGAAATATCCTGTTGATAAATATCTGTAGTACATTTCAATAAAATGAATCCTCTAACAACTAGATACAACTTGTTATGGACAAAATTTTTGACTGAGGGAAACGTTTAACCTAGTGGTGGTGGTAAGTCTGTGGGTCACTAGATATGATTTAGTATCAAAAATATGATAGAAGACAATATATCACCTGACATTAGTGTCCCTTGCTGCTAGCAGAACAAAAGCAAATGAGTGAAATGGCAAAAATGTATGTAATGTATTCTTTTGAGTAGTGCATGTCTGTCTGGATAGCAAGCATTTAGATCTGCTCACCTTCACAGTGAGCAGCCACTGGTGGTAGGTCTTGTCACTGACTGTGGGGGAGAACCATGACAATAACCAGTTAGTATCACATAGTGGGCATTCTAGGTACTAGCTAAGAAGGTCTACAAAATTTCATGCAAACCTATTACAGTGCATCAATAGCATGCCACTAAGTCAGTACAGTCCATTTCCATGCTACTGTTTTGTTTCTGAAGTCTAGATTTTGGTTTTTACCAAGACTTGTTTATAATAGCCAGACCCAGTGCCTTGCAAAAGTATTCATACCCCTTGAACTTTTCCACTTTTTGTCATGTTACAAACACAAACTTAAAAACATTTTATTTGGATTTAATCTGATAGACCAACACAAAGTAGTGCATAATTGTGAAGTGGAAGAAAAATGTAGCGTTAAAGATTTTTTACAAATAAATATCTGAAAAGTGTAGTGTCCATATACACTATATTGCCAAAAGCATTCGCTCACCTGCCTTGACTCGCATATGAACCTAAGTGACATCCCATTCTTAATCCATTGGGTTTAATATGACATTGGTCCACCCTCTGCTGCTATAACAGCTTCAGCTCTTCTGGGAAGGCTGTCCACAAGGTTTAGGAGTGTGTTTATGGGAATTTTTGACCATTCTTCCAGAAGCGCATTTGTGAGGTCACACACTGATGTTAGACGAGAAGGCCTGGCTCTCAGTCTCCGCTCTTATTCATCCCAAAGGTGTTCTATCGGGTTGAGTTCAGGACTCTGTGCAGGTCAGTCAAGTTCATCCACACCAAACTCTCTCATCCATGTATTTATGGACCTTGCTTTGTGCACTGGTGCACCTTCATGCTGGAAAAGGGAAGGGGCCATCTCCAAACTATTCCCGCAAAGTTGGGAACATGGGATTGTCCAAAATCCCCTGGTATGCTCAGCATTAAGAAATCCTTTCACTGGAACTAAGGGGCCAAGCCCAGCTCCTGAAAAACAACCCCACACCATAATCCCCCTCCACCAAACTTTGCACAATGCAGTCAGACAAGTACCGTTCTCCTGGCAACCGCCAAACCCAGACTCGTCCATCAGATTGCCAGATGGAGAAGCACAATTCGTAACTCCAGAGAACGCATCTCCACCGCTCTGGCGGCGTGCTTTACATCACTGCATCCAATGCTTTGTATCGCAGCTGTGCTGCCATGGAAACCCATTGCATGAAGCTTTCTTCACACTGTTCTTGAGCTAATCTGAAGGCCACATGAAGTTTGGAGGTCTGTAGCGACTGATGCTGCAGAAAGTTGACGACCTCTGCGCACTATGGGCCTTAGCTCTCCATCCAATCTGACTGAACTGGAGCTATTTTTCAAAGAAGAATGGGCAAACATGGCAGTGTCTAGCTCTGCAAAGATGGTAGAGACATACATTGCAGCTGTAATTGTAGTGAAAGGTGGTTCGACAAAGTATTGACTCAGGGGGACTGAATACACATGCACGCCAAACTTTTCAGATTTTTATTTGTAAAAATCTTGAACAACATGTATCGTTTTCCTTCCACTTCACAATTATGTGCCACCATGTGTTGGTCTGCTACATAAAATCCCAATAAAATGCATTTAAGTTTGTGCTTATAACCTCACAAAATGTAGAAGAGTTCAAGGGCTATGAATACCTTTGCAAGGCACTGTACATAGACCCAGAGCTAACAGAGAAACCAGGAAATGGAACAAATAAAAAAAAAGGTGCAAGTGGCAAAGCGGGATGTTTGTGTTCTGTTAGATTTAATGTGAAACTAACATGGCAACATACTTTATATGTCTCCTCCCTTTATTTTAGTAATTCTACTTTACATAGGTGCACTCTGCATGGTAAGAGGTACATAAACACATTGCTGCTGGCTCACCTGCGTATTCACCCATGCTGATCTCCTCCTCAAAGATGTCACTGAAACCCTCTCCCGCGTTTAGCAGGTCCAACCGACCATCAATGAACTTGCAGGTACAAGCACAAAACATATTAGGTATTTACTGGAAGGGTGAAATACTAATATGTGTGCACATGGGCTTGTACTATTGTTCCTGTGAAGACCAGTTAAACCATTAGGACTTTTTTGCTGGTTTAGATTACAGTTAGGTTAAGGACTGGGATTGAGCTTATAGCCATGGTGATTCAGGGCTACGTTTGTGTGGGTCTGTTTGTACCTGTTTGAAGAGCTGTAGCTGAATTGCATTTTGGAGAAACTGTCTCATGGCACTGGAACGATGGTTGATAAAGGTTTCTTCATTAAATGTTATAGGCTCTCCCTAAAACGCAGAAGAAAAAAAACAATCATCAGAGTATTGTACATCTCTCACACAACATATTCAGCACTTTATACTCAGCACCCTCTAGACCAGGCCATTGGTTTTGCAAAAATAATTTTTTTGTTTGAACCATTTGTACTTATCTGTAGATATACACTTTCCAGAGTCTGACTTATTACTCTTTGTTTGCTCCCTACAGCCTTTATCACTGGTATACACTTTGCACTGACCGGCTCAATCTGCAGGGCGTTTCGGTAGCTGCCAAACAGAGCTGCCTGACTCTTGAGGAAAGCTTTGGCCACACCATCCCCCGTTGTTGTTGAAACCTTCTTCAGACGACTTTTTAAAGAAGAAACCTGCAGTGTATTAAGTTACAGTTGTTAGAACATGGATGGATGGGTGGACAGATGGATAAATACTTTATTCATCCCCTTGGAGAAATTGAAGGTATCAAGTAGCTTACACGTTACACACAATTAATAGAAGAAAGAAGGATATCTATATTGTAAGCAACTGTCCTGCTTCTTAAACACTGACTAGCTGTCCAGTAGTTCCTCACCACATCATTGGGCAGGCTTTGGAGATCATCATAGGGGGTTTCCAGTGTATTTGTGTCAATATTCAGGACCACTACATCATCCAGAGCCATCCCTCGAACTTTCTACAAGACACAGAAAACGGATAACAGACTGGTAATCAACTTCACATGAAGTCACTGCGCTAATACTAAACAATTTTAAACCTGTCAACACTAGATAAAACAGGGTCAAAAACCATCACGGTAAATCACTGTTTTTTAAATCATGAATGATCTGGTTCCTGTGTACCAGTTGCAGACACTCACCTCCATCAGGCTGGAATGTACTCCGATGAGGTAGGGCATTGGGGCACTGAAAAAAAAAAAAACAAGCATACCATTTTTTCACAGCACATGGAATGCAGCTTAGACCACAGTAGAACCTTACAGTGACAAACACATCTTATAAATGTAGTCCAGCTATCTCCTATCCCCAAACTCTGTTTGTCTCATGTGTCCTATTATTGTTTGGGTCAGTAGCTGGGATTTCATCACATTCACACCTACCTATGATGTGCAAGTGTAAGCATGAGCAATCAGATGCTTAACAGAGTTTACTTAACGAACGCTAGTGTCAATAGTAACAAGGATTTTCTACATGTTACACTAAGAGCCTTTGAAAAGTTGTAAAATCGTTTGAATTTACCAAGACAACAGGTAAACACAGAAAATTAAAAGTCAATTAAAACTAAAGTATGTGAGATTACAGGGGATCACTGACTGAAATATGATGGAATGCCCATGTGAGACTTGAAAATTTCAGCAACAAGTAAATCAACAAATAGGACCACTAACTTAACTTATTATGCAACTTCAGCACTTTTTGAAGTAACATACAAACAAAACATGGACTTCTTCAAATATGTAAAATCTGCTATGTGTTTGGTTGTTGTGCTCATAGATAGATTTGAATGTAGTCTTGGTCGTTGTTGTCAGTGTATATTACTGTGCAGAAAGTACACTCTGTTCAACACAACAGGTTTGGAGTCTGGATGACAGCCATTAAACTCACCAGCAGTAGTCTAATAGATGCTGAGGCAGGACAGGAATGTAAACATGTTGCCAGTGCATTGGATATAACATGGCTGCAGACCCATGGACACAAGCAGTCAACTGTGAATAAATGATAAACTGTGAGATCATTGAAAGTAAAGTACTGAAATCTTCAGGAAACCAAAATCAACAGAGTTAAAGACAAGAGAAGGAAGACGAAGTTGGCTCTACTTACAGTGCTTAGTTTGCTACAGCAGATGAGGATTCGACGTTCATAAAGCATACTAGCGTACAGATGAAGCATGTTATTCACATCTACTGCTACAAAGTACTCAGTTAGGTTTCTCTGCAAAGATCAAACAAAATGAGAGAAAAATGAACAGGAGAGTTAGTTATGGGAGTAAAGATTAGAAAAAAAACACAATTCTCATGTGAACAAAGACTTGTTTGAATTTAAAGAATGATGCATTTTAATTAAAAAGTCTTATATCGGGCTGCAAGGGTGTCCCCTGCTGGGATCGGCTCCAGCCCCCTCGTGACCCCAGTGAGGATTAAGCAGTGTATAGATAATGGATGGATGGAAGTCTTATATCTGTTCAAATGTGCAATAATATATTTTCCATACAAATCCAACAATGTGCAGTTTTATCAGCTGTTGTCAAGTTTCATACTGAAACTGTAAACACTTTAAGTTGATAACCAGAGTATTGTTCATAGTGTGAAACAAATGTTTGCACAAATTTAATCGCCATAAAAACACAGTGACTGTAAACTCTGACCTTAAAATGGAAGAATCGGCTTCTCCACAAAAGTATCCACCATCTTCTCCACCCAAATACTAATTCTGCCCTTTTTAGCTGGTTTCTTTCTTGAAAGAACTTTGACAATATTTCCTATCCATTATGTGCAGTTCGCACACGAAAACAATTCCTTGTGTGGACCCTAACCACAAGTTGCTAGTCTGTCTGTTTTTTTTTTTTCTATGTGGACTCATCTCACTCAAGACATCACTTAGAAACCTGTTCATAGCCTCTTATTTACCAGAGGGCTGTACTTCGAAGCAAGATTAGTGGGTTAGCGAAGTATGCTGAGCCTAAAGTCAGAGTTTTCAGTGTTATGAAGGTGGTTCTCTTTTAACCTGACTATATCACCATGGTTACTTATGCTGCACAGCTAACCTGCTCCAGAGGAAGTTCTATTCACAGTTTTGGATTGAAAATAGCTGTAAGAAGTGTCCCCCCCTTAAGCCAGATTTTTTTTCCTCATGATTCCCTGTGAGCAGTACAGATTCTCAGCTGAGGGAATATCTTAAAGCTCAAACTCGTTGCGCTGTGCTCTACTAATCCCATTGAATGAAGATGTGCAGTTATAGTACACACTGTAGGCATTGTGTTAGCATGGGAACCTACATGTATTTAGGGTCAAAGTAATTTGGCTATTTTGAGAAGAATTTCACAAAAACTTTCAGATCAAAGTAAACAGATTTCTACAAAGTAATGTCAATTAATCATAAATATAAAATGTAAAATAGGTGATGCACAATTATTCCCATCATCTCTAACTGGGGTTTTATATTTTGTTGAGCCAGCTTGCACAAACAAAGCCTGGCTATGTCAAGCTTGCTTCGTAGTACACTCTTCAGACATGTGGCAGATCCAAATCAGTTAACAGTAAACTTCTCCTTGGTCAAATGCAAAGGGGCATTTAGATTTAACTGGGATATCTTCCAGTGTAAGAGAAATAACAACACTCACATTCTCAGGTATGCTGGGGAGCTCCCTTGCGTCAGGCACAGTGAAGAAAGAATGCTAGAGAAAACACATCAAGAGGGTAAATGTAAGAGAAAGCAATGAAAGGAATGCAAAGAGACTGTGGAAAACGTATACGATCAACATGTGTCCTCAGTGGAAGACTGTATGGTGATGCAGGATAAAAGTTACTGTCGTGATCTCGTTTAGTTCATACTTCAAAGCTATAAAGCAAAGAAATTATTTCACTTTACATGTTTTTTTAATGTTATAAGGGTAATTAGTTTGGGTGGAGAACAGTTTTGTTGTAGTGTTTCCAGTTTTCAGTAGGATGTGAAGTCAGGCTTACCACACCAAGATGAAGCGGGACGCCAGGCTCACGGACGGAAAGGGAATGTAGCGACACCAGGAGCTCCTGCCATTTGCTTTCCTGACATATTCAGAACATCCAAAATCCATGCAATAGTCATTAAAAAACATTCAACAAAAGTAAACACAAACATTCAGAATTATTTATCACAAAGCTAAGCATACAGCTGATTCTGAATATGCAGGAACACTACTACACACCCATCGACTACAGATACAAGAGCTCACATGTCCATCAGGGCAAATCATGAAGCATATTCAATTCACAGAAAAACTAAAGTTCAAACAGTATTAATAGGCTGGCCAACAAATTCCTGACTGATGTGAAAGAGTCACCTTGCAACATAAGTCACCTGTCACAACTTACCTGGCCTTTGACAGTGTAATCTGCAAGGATATTCAGCAACTTGTAGAAGACTTCAAACCAAGGCAGGTAACTAAGAGGACACAAAAGGAGGGGCTGAGCATTACGCTGCTGAAGGTTGTTTTATTTGACATCTTCAAAATTGTAGGGCTGCAATGAATCGCCGCTCTAAACTTGCAACATCAGAATCTGAGTATGTATTAGGCTCATGGCTGCTTACAAACATACTCACCTGAGAATGCAGTAGCACCTGGTGTGTGCACCTGTAGAAAGACGACAGAAGCCAAATCTTTGTTTGCTTTCAATGTCAGTCAGCACAAATGTGAAGTTCTGGCTGACCTGGCTGACTGTCAGGCTGCAGGGTAAAAGATTTTCACAAGACAGGCAGAGAAAGAGAGAGGGAGAGAAAAGTTTACTTGTATAGCACGTGTCCACATCAGCACAATTCAAACTGCTTTACGTGTGGTCATTAAAAAGAAGATAAATACCAGACAGCAGATATTAACATTTGACTGAAAAAGTGAAACAAAATAAAAAAGATATCTAAGTTAAAACAGAGCTAAAACTACTGCCTCACAGTCGTACGTCTCAAACAACCAGTCTTTGTTTAACGAAATTTAGATTTATAATGAGTCATTCAAAACACGACTCATTATGGACTGCAATCGTTGGAGACTGAATCATTTGCGAAGCGACGGTGCAAACCACTGATCCACCGTGCAGCCCTCAGCAGATGACAGTGCACGCCAAGTCATCACAGACTGGAAACTTCACACTAAACTTAAGCAACTTTGATCCTGTGTCTCTCCACTCTTTGTCCAGACACCAGGACCTTGATTTCCAAAACAAATGTAAAATTTACTATCATTAAAAAAAAAAAAAAAAAAAAAAGGGACTTCTCTTTTGCTCGTTGTCCTTTTCCTTCCACACTTTTTCTTCCAGTCAACTTTGCATTATATGCTTTGGTGCAGCATTCTGTGAACAGCCAGCCCCATTCAGGAATGTACTTTTGAGTCTTACCTTCCTTGTGGAGGGTTTCAATGATTGTCTTCTGGACAACTGTCAAGTCAGCAGTCTTGCCTATGATTGTGGTCGTGTATACTGAACCAGACTGAGAAATTAAAGGTTCTTTGCAGGTGCTTTGAGTTGATTAGCTGATTAGAGCTCTTCTCAATACTGTGTGAGGGTGTCTAGGGGTCCTTGATGGACACCTCTGTGACCCTGTGTGAAATATTCTGATATTTTTGAATTAGATTTGGGGGTTTTAAAAAGCTGTAAGCCATTATCATTAAAGTTTCAACAAATAAAGGCTTGGATTATTTCAGTTTAT